ACAGCCCCTCTGCTGGCTTGGCCATGTCGAACGAATGGCAGAGAAGACTTCCTCTGTAATGGAATGGATCAGGTGGAGATGGAATTGGCTTCTCAATGGTGTCTTAAAAAGTAGTTTCAAGCTAAAACCATCTTAAATGACCTTCGTCTGACATTGTGATACATATTTTAACTAACTGATGAAATAAGTTGAAATTGATTTTGTCAAACACAATTCGACTGACACCAATATATTAGTAATTCAATAAACTTATTAAATAATGTGAATTTAAAATTTAAACGGGTGGTAACCCTCTCTGAACACCTCAGAAATGTTCTTAGTGTTAACACTAAATATTTCTTAGCACTCCTTTGTTTAGCATATTTTAATATTTCATTTTGAATAAGTTATCTAAAGTCGATTTTTCAACAGGTGGCAACCCTATTCAAAATATTTACAAACTATTATCTTCTTAAATGTTCTTCGTCTGCGCCCATATTGTCATACATATTTCTAATATATTATTCCTTAGTTCAGTTTAAATTTAATTTTTTAAACAGGTGGCACCCCTCCTACAGGTAAGTTAGAAAACAAAGCTTTTTAAACGAATTTAAATTGATACCCATTTTGTAATAATTGGTNTAGTTCAGTTTAAATTTAATTTTTTAAACAGGTGGCACCCCTCCTACAGGTAAGTTAGAAACCAAAGCTTTTTAAACGAATTTAAATTGATACCCATTTTGTAATAATTGGTTTAACTTTTAAGTAATTTTTTTTTCCGTCCTTTTTTAAAAGGTGGCAACTCTTTTCGAAAAAGTAAAACCTTATTGCACATCTGCAGCCCAAACTCTTCACTTTGACACCTCACTTTTGAAAATAGAACTAACGGTGCAGATCTTATGACCTGCACAAAAATCCCTTCGCATTTTATATATATAGATGCCAAGCAAGACCCGCCTAATCGAAAAAGTATATAAAGGCTCTATGTATTATGTATTTGATATTAATGAAAATTACATATGCAATAGTGGTAAATAATAGTACAAATACTTATAATTGGAAAATAGTAGTAATTGAATTTGTATTTCTTCAAAACTAACAAATGGCACTACTCCTTACGAGTACAAATATGAATGTGCCTATCTCTAATATAAAATGCATAACTTTCTCAAGTTGCCTACACTGTGTCCCGCGAATATTTGCGCTACACTCCAACCTAACGATATCCCATAGTCACCTGCAGAAAGTCATTTATGGCGGAGATATTACACCCAATAAAGTGAAATTTACACAAACGCGCCGTCGACAGTATCACAATCTGGCACAACATAAATTCATGTCGCGCAAAATATTTGCTAGTATATTCCAATAAACAAAAACAAAGGAACGAACGATTCAACCGCTGAGCTAGCTCGGGACGTCTTGCCTGTTGTTGGCGCATCTTCTGCCGCCAGATATGCCCGAAATAGTGGCATCTGGATGTGGCGGCGAGCAGCGAACGACTGGCCTGGCGAAACATATTTTCCATGTCGATACAATCGATTGCGTTATGCAAAATATATGCAAATACCATATTGACACAATATCGCACACAAAAGGCGAAGATACACCAACGAACCATGAAATATCCCATCGAAGCCCAAACAAAACAAACACACACGAGTACTAAATAAGTAAAAAATTCAAGTGAAGGAAAAATTTGAAATTGGAAAGGCGATTCAACTTAAACGGTTTCGTTAGAAACGCTCTTAAGACAATGCCAACTTCCTCATCCTCACCGTCCCCCCTCCGACTATCTGCAGGCGGCCCGGCGGCCACTCGCCACAGAGACTTCAACGGAGCCCAGCGATGTCTTCTTTTGCATTAGAAATTATTTCGATCCGCCGATAGATTTGTAAATTTATCTTGTGGGTGTACGAAAGTACCGGGCGGCCCGGGCGGCCCGAGTGTGTGGGGTATGTGTGAGCGCGCTGAAGCGTGAGTGCGGACCGCCACACGAAGAAAGTCGCAGGCAGTTGCTGATATGCACCGATAGCCAGGACTGCCAAAATGTGGCTTGAAATTCGTACTTCGAATGTTTTGTAATGTAAATATGTGCATACATTTGTGTGTGTGTGTGAGTGACTGTATGTAAGTCGGTCGCAAGTGAAGTAAGCCTTTTTTTTTTTGGTGGCAGCGCATTGTTGGCGAGTCACCGATTGCTCGGCCGATATTGGTAGTCAGTAACAAGCATCATTAAACATTTAAATTACTCCCAAGCGCATCGGTTATGACCAAAATCACTCGTCGAACATCTTCGTAAGTACTGTGACACTTTGTAAGTTTTTTTCTGTAGACGGAATACTTTGTGTATTTTTTGCATTTTGACTGCCATCGACCATCGGTTATAGTTGGTGTTTTAGAGGGTATGTGTGCACGAAATTATGTATACGAAATCACGAAGTTAGCCTACTCCAGTCAAGTGAAAAACGAAATTTTATGGAAATTCCCGCACCGCAGACGCACACTTCAATGGATGCAGAATGAGTTCGAAAAAGAAAGCGCAATGTTTGTCGTATGATTCGTTCTTGAAATTTATGGCGGTAAAAATATTTTTTGAATGTACATACATACATATATTCATGAAATTCCGGTGGGCTTGACCGATTTAGATGAAATTGGTATTTTATAATATCCGGGACACCTGGATGAGCATAAGGACCATCGGTGGCAGGTGACGCTGGAGGCAAATATTGAGAAGTTTGTTATAAAGTAAAAATGATTCAATAGGTGGCGCTTTTTAAGCTACATTCTCTAAATTATTCGAAATTAGTATTTATGGGTTCTTTCGGTGCACGTGTTTGAATGTAAATAAATTTGTATTTATATAGGTACGCATACAAAGGAAGAAGCAAGAGTTTTTCGATCAAGTCATCATCCAATTCATCCTCAGTCTCTTATAAGGCCATTTTCGATAAAAAAAAAATTTTGATCTTTATTTGTTCTTTACCCATTCGGAGTCCCGCTGAATAGTTTGTTTTCTTTTCTTGACCGGCGGCCATCATTCATAAAGCCGAAGTGGTGCGCATTATTAAATTGAAAACCGACAGTTCATTCAAAATTGTTCAAAAAGGAACCACAATTTAATGTAAGTGTTTCTTCAAAAGTTGTTTTAAACCATTTGTGCAGTGATGGGCTCATTTAATGCAAAATTTCATGGAACGTATTTCTGACGAGTCCAAAACAGCACGCCAGTCGTTTCTCTTCTGTGCCAACTGACGCCAATTGGAATTTCCAAGTGAAGCCAAGTTCTTCTCCACCTGATCTTTCCAACGCAGAGGATACCTTCCTCTTCCTCTGTTACCAGCAACGCGGCCCGCGTTGAATACTTTCAGAGCAGGAGCGTCGATGTCCATTCGAACGATTTTAATTCTATACAGTTGTAAAGCTCATACAGCTCATCGTTAAATTGTCTGCGACATTCGTCATCACCAACGCGTAAAGGTCCGTAAATCTTTCGCAGAAATCTTTCTTTCGAAAACTCCAAGGGCCGCCTCATCAGATTTCATTGGATTTCAAGACTGACTTTATTATTGGTGTTAATGCTGGTACCCAAATAAACGAAGTCGTCTACTTTTTCAAACTTGTGACGTGTGTGTGTGATGGAGCTGATGGTATTACTCAACGTCATTTTACACAGCCTTATTAGTTTCGCGGTGATGCCAATTTCAGACATCGCGGCATTAAGACAATTTCTTTTCGTACTATCGAAAGCGTGCGTCGATCCTATTCTCGCGGGTCTTTTCCAATATTTGGTGTATTGTCTATACCTGGTCTATGGTGGATTTGCCAGGTATAAAGAAACACTGATAAGTCCCAATCAGTTCAATGACGGTGGGCTTCAGTCTTTCACACAATACGCTCGAAAAGACCTTGTAACCTATGATTAGAAGGCTGATCCCGCTGTAGTTGGCGCCTATGGCGGCGTCGTATTTCGTGTTGATTGGGCAGAGCAAACTTAAATTCCAGTCGGCAGGCATGCGTTCATCTGACCATATTCTGCATAGAAGATGTTGCATGCACTTGAATAGCTTGGCTGGCAGGCCGCCGGCTCCAGCAGCTTTGTTGTTTTTCAGCCGCGTAATCGCTATTCGTTCCTCGTCATAGCCATAGAGAGACATCGAGTCCATCGTCAATGACTGGGGGCTCGGGTTCTTCTTCTGCACTTCTTTCAGTGCTGCCGCCATTCAATAGGGTAGAAAAGTGCTCCCTCTATAATTTAAGTACTCTCTGGACATCAGTCTCTAGGTCGCCATGGTTGCTCTTACAGGAGTTCGCTCTGGTTTTGAAACCTTCAGTAAGTCGCCAAACTCTCTGATAAAATATTCGGGCGTTTTTCCTGTCGGCCATGCTGCATGTGAAGCTCTTCGCACTCACGTATTCCGGCCTCTCTCTTCTTAATGCGGCTAATACGTCTCGCTTCCCTCTTCAGTTCCATATAACGGTCCCACCTGTCTCGCGTTGCGTCCGATCGCAGCGTGGCCCTGTAAGGCGGCATCGTTTTTCTCTGCAGCTTTTTCACACTCCTCATCGTACCAACCAGTTGATCGGTAGAATTAGTGTCTGAATTTGCTTCCATCAACCAAAAGTCGATCGATGGCTCAAACATATTTTTTTAAAAATAGTAAGTATATAAAATTATATTATTTTAAATTCGACTTTCCTCTCAAACCTCTAGATTTTTTTTTGGAAATTATAATAAAACAATATGTATAAAATGGAAGTTAAATAATTTAAATAATTGCGTCTCCTCAACAAACGTCCAACCGGCTGCTCGTCTGTATTTTATTCATCTTCTCTTTCGTCATCGGCGGTGAGGATTCACACTACGAGATTTATAAGCTAATGCTCTATGTTAACTGTACATACTAGCGCTGTTTCGAGTGTCATATTTTTCACATGAGAATGCGAATGATAGGAATAACATTGAAAAATCTATAATCAACTTAAGTCATCGTTTTTATTACTTAAAAATTCTCCAGATTATTAGAATACTGAACGAGTGCTTAACCTGTACAGTGTTTAAATCTAGTAATCAAAGTTCAAAGGGGCATATTATACGAGTATTTCAAAGAAGTAATTTTGCTGCCTCTTCTCCCATGAGACGATTTCTTCGGGGTTCGTATATAAGGCCGGCTGCACTGAACAATTGCTCACTTGGAACGCTGGCGGGTGGACCGCTCAAATATTTGCGGGCCAGATCTGTCAATTTGTCATATTTTAGTTTAGTTTTTCACCAATCGAGAGGATATTCACCGAGATGAACTCGTTTTTCTTTGAGATAAGGCTATAATTGAGCTTTAATTTTACATTTTCTAATGTCTCCAGATTCGTCATCCGAGCCTTCGCTTTCGCTGGAGGAATCAAAAATTATTTCTAGGTTGCTTATAAGCAGGGAACGGATTTTTAGGACCTAAAAACCTATAAAAAAGGCAAAATAAAATAACGAAAAAGGCAAAAAAAGGCAAAACAAAATAGCGAAAAAGGCAGGAAAAGGCACTAGATATTGCAAAAAAAGCAAAATAAGGCGCTAAAAAAAGACAGAAAATACAAAGAACCTTCAAAAAATACATTTATTTTAAAAATGTTTATATTACAAGTAAAAAGAGAAAAATTATGAATTAGTTTCGTTATATGAACAATTTTTTCTTTGAGTCTTTGACTATTTTATCCTTTCGAGTTTCTAACTAATAAAACGTTAATCTTTATAGTCGTAGTAACATTGAACCACAAGATGCATTTTGAAGTTTTCTGGCAGCATTTTCATTCGATTTTCGCGAAGAAAAGCCTTGAATGTACTAAATGTGCGCTCGACGTAAGTTGATACAAGTGGAGCCCAATTTAAATATGGAACAGTTGAAACGTTCATATTATCAGGAATAAGGCCGTTTTCCTCGTCCTTTACAATTTTATCCACACCCCTTATTGTGCCCAAGCCTACGTTAGCTGAGAAAACGGCTTTGAAGTTTTCCAACACCAATTTGGCAAGAGGTCTCTGCGCCTCTATAAGCCGCATGGGCATGTGTTGTATATTTTTTAATCTTAAAAAAAAAATTGTAAATGCTATAATCGCTTTTTTAAAGGTAGAAAAGGTAAAAAAGGCAAAAAAAGGCAACATCAAATTTGTGTATATATGGAATCAGGGAAAGCTAAGTCGTGGACATTCTTAATCGAATATACTCTATCTGTTTACCATAAAAAAAGGCAATTTCCATAAAATCCGTTCCCTGCTTATAAGACTTTTAGCAGTACTTGTTGAAGGCTCATCAATGTTGCTTGATATACTACTTAACCCTTTAGCGCCTGAAGCTAAAAACCGGTTATTGTCCGCATCCTGGTTAGACAGACTTAGAGCCATTTCAACAATATTAGAGAGTGAGCTCTCTGCACATTCACATAACGAATGCGAAAGCAAATAAACAAAAAAAAAAAAAACATGACGTAAAAAGGGTTATATATAGCGTGCCAGACATAGAGAAAAATTGTATCTGTCTAGAACTTAAACACATTTCCAGTCGGGACGCCTATCGGTTGTTTCTCGCTCTCACTACTGACTTTGCCGCATTTCCTATAGGTTCACACAAACATAAATATGTATGTATAAATCTAACTCCACTGGGGGGACTTGAGCTTGTAAATTGAATTCGTGAATTAGTGCTTAGCTTTTTATTTATTTATTTATGTATTAATTTTTATGGTCGTACTTTCAGCTGATGCTTCCACAATTAAATGTGAAGCGCTGTTGCATGTCAAATTATTATTTGCCACATGTTCACTTCATTCGAGTGCAGTCTCTGCCGCTGCATGACAGACGACAAACAACAGAGCGCCGCCACAGCACGCTGCACATCTTGTGTTGCATGCTACTTTGTTGTCGCTGTCGCTGTCGCATTGCATTGTCGTTTTTAGTTTTGTGTGGAATTGAAATCACAATTGACATNCCGAGTGCAGTCTCTGCCGCTGCATGACAGACGACAAACAACAGAGCGCCACAGCACGCTGCACATCTTGTGTTGCATGCTACTTTGTTGTCGCTGTCGCTGTCGGATTGCATTGTCGTTTTTAGTTTTGTGTGGAATTGAAATCACAATTGACATTTTACGAGTATGTATATTGTTGCGATTCCAACTCTTCCCCACCGCCTACCTCCACCCCAAACCTCAGCCGCTTCTGTGAACTGAGCTCAGAAATTAGCCTAAGACATTGGCGCTGTGATGCAGGGAGGCGGCCTTTGAAGTTTAAATGTAGATTTAGCGCTGAAGCTTTGGCAAATGTAGCGCTCATAGATAAAATAAATGGAGTATCTCGGTTGCCTGTTTGTTGTTGCGGTTGTTGTTTTTGTGCTTGTTAATGGGGTGACGCGGCAATTTGCTTCCTCGTTCTATGTCATTACTCAGTACCGCCCATGATGATTAATTGCCACAAGCGGCTTGGCAGGCAGCTACCAACAGGCAACAACCAGCAACCAGCAACCAGCAACCAGCAACCGAAATTGACGGCGATTGTTGCAACAATATTTGACTATCGTAGCTACGTGTGTAGGTGTGTGTTCACCGGCATATGTATAAGTATGCAGGCAAGGGTGTTGTCATCTGTTGAAACATCTTACACGAGTTAGAAATGCAGACAATTATAATGTCGCCAGTTATACAGGCAAAACAGGCGAGCATTTGCCTACAACAATAACATTTCATTGCACAACAAATTCATTAGTTATGTGTAAACGAAAGTGTGTATTTATATTAATGGGTATTTGTATAGATACTCAGATTGTATTTAGTTTTTGCATAGATCACAAGCGGCATGCCCCTTTGTATTAATGGCTGCAATTAAGAGTGGCATGATCAGGTCGCAATACATACATACATATGTATGTGCAATGCTAGTGTCTTTTAAGTAATTGATTTATAGTTTTTTCATTTATTCATTGGTGCTATTTTAAAATAAATGTTTAGTATACAGGTTTTTAAACTTATTTATTGTTGCATCTGTGTTTTGAATTTAGTTTCACGCACGTTTACGCACTTTTAACATAGCCTAAAACTCAATAGAAATGTTACCACCACTGTTTTACCAAAAAGCGGACGCTACCCAAAACTGCTAAGAAAAACGTATGCTCTTAAGAAGCTGTAGCGAAACGCCAGTGAGAGCTTTGAGTTAGAAGAGAATTGGCATCGAATACTAGAATCTGAATTGATCTAGATTGCTACTGGATGAATAAATTGAAATGAATAACGAAATCATCATAGCTTTACATAAATATGTATGTACATAGGTCCCTCCCTTTAAACAATTTCTGGGTGCTCAGAATTTATGAGTCAAAAATGAGTATTTCTTTCGTTATAAATATGATTCTGAGACCAGTCAGTCAGACTGACTAAATTCGGACTCTTTTGGTGTCATAAATCCAGATTTGAACAAAAAAAAACAAAGTTCACGTAAAAGTAAAAGTTTATTGATAATCATAATTATAAAGAATATTTGTTTTTAAGACTCAGGAAAGCGTCATATTTCATTTGACTTTTAATATGCTCTATTCTGACTCTTTTTTGAGCTAATACAGAGGGTCAGAATTCCAAATTCTGAGACTTTTTTGACTCTAAAATGAGTCCGAATATTTACAGGGCTGTTATTTCAAATTTACAACCTCAGTTCACTTTGGACAGTTTATCTAAGAACTGAACCACGTCCTGTCGTTGGATAAGATTACTCTACTCTAAACAACTATGAGATGCACAGCGTAACAAGAACTGGGCGATCAGTTCTTATACATATCTACATACCTACATACATATGTATGTACGTATGAGAGACAGCTTCGCATGGTGAAAACATTACAAGGTAAATTTCATGGTTTAATAATAACAAGGTGTTGTCAATAACTGAACCTCACTTTTTCGGCAGTTCTATTCCGGTCACGCGTTTTTAATATTAACCACAATTTTGTTTACATTAACCAAACTTTTGGGTGGCGATTTTTCGTTTGAATAAATTTATGTTCTGCACTACACAGATGCTTTTTCATAATTCGGAGATACAAACAAAAATTTGTATTATCATTATAACATGTTGCTTCTGACGGGATTGGCAAATAACAGCAAGCAGCTCTACACCCTCAGCTACAGCCGCTTTATAAATGTGTCTTCACATGTTCACCTTGAATCAATTTTCTTCGTCGTTTGATTTGGTTCTGCACTTTACAGAGGCTTTTTCGTAATTACGAAAAACCAAAAACAGAAAAAAGTAAAAATTATGTATCGCGTAAACGGAATTCGTACTGCTGGAAGTCAACAAATAACAGCAAGCACCTCTGCTCGTTCAGCCACTGCCAAACATACGAATTTGTTCTCAAATGTTCAACATGAATCGGCTTATTGACCATGGAAATTTTTGCTTTTGGCTCAGTGTAGATAAAGTGTCAAAGTCGCGAGTACCCAAAACTCGGGCCAACAGATTACAAACACTAGTTCTTGTTCTTGCAACACCTCGTTTCCTACATTACCATTCAGACGTAAGGAAAAATTATTTGATATCTCCATTATTACCGACAATAGATATGTATAACAAATCCTATATCGATAGCTGGCATTTCATAAAAAACTTGTTCTAACTTAATACACGGTTTTCAAGCGCTTTTATACTAGATGTGTATGTACCCTGCAGTGAAACCCCAAACTAGTCAGGAAAAATACTAGTTTACAACTAGAATTCCCTGACAGAGACCGAACTAGTTCGAAAATAACCAGACTTATCCCAAGTACAAAATGATTTATTCATGCCGTTTTATTTGACTTCGACAATTTAATACAATAAAGTACACAGTTATAATATACTTTTATTTTGGTATATTGTAAACCATTAAATCGAATACGTATTCAATTATACCAGTCCTGTTAAATAATGATTAATCATAATGATTTGTAATTAAAGCATGTTTTTTGGATAACCGTTCAATGAACAAATACCGCTATTACCACCTTTTTAATGAGTAATAAATTATTACTTAAACAAAATGTTAATTAATTCATTAATTACTCACTATTTTGTTATTTTTGATCATTTTCAATTATCTGACTTTTTTTATTTACACGATTAAAAAATTTGATT